GAACCTCACTTCTGCATCTAGAAGAAGTGAGGTTCTTACCCACGAAAGCTTATGCTCCCAATACTTTTTTTAGTCTTAAAGGTGCCACAGGACCCTCTGTTGCTTTTTACAGATTCAGACTAACACGGCTACCCCTCTGATACTACTCAAATTAAACACTTGGCCTTGTTTTCACGAAGAACGAAGAACAATTTCCTCTCCTTCCCCCCAGCCCTTTTCTTTGTGTTCAGTTACTGAACATTTTTGCTTGCTGAAAAGTTTTTAATCATGGCCTTTATTTTCTGGGAGTGGGGAGAGAAATTTTAGTGCCATTTTTGGGGGTGAGGGCAAGGAAACTGAATTTAATGAAATTCAGAAGGGATAAGGTTTGATCATACAATTTACTACAGGAAAAAGATGCCCACAATATCAGACAGTCATTGTCACTGAAATACAGTACTTATGATACAGAAGTTTCCTTCCTTTCTCTCACCCTCCCCCCCCACACACACACACTTCATTGCAAGGTAGGAGCAGCAGCTATAGCATCATGTTACTGGCACATGGTAAGAGCTGTGCCCGGCCTTCATATCTTCTCATACGGGTTCTTGTAGAAGCAGGAGCTAAGTACTAAAGCCAGACAATTAATTTGCACTGAAAATTACTCAATTTCAGATGATTTATGTGGAGCCTCTGAAAATGATGTTGCTTGGAGCAGTGTATGTTTAGAGTCTTCTAGATTATTACACAGTGTATCCCTTCCAAATATTATAAACTATATTTTTATGTATATGTTTTCACTGTTTACTAGGATTGCAGGCAAAATGGTGATAAGATATGATTACAAGGAGGCATTCCCATTTAAGGGCTGCTTTCCTTTGGACTCCTTAGATGGCTGAAGGCTGTAGAAAAGAGCTTTACAAATGCATTTTGCTATTGATCCCTAGTGAAGGCCAGATAGGCCAAAATGTTGGATTATCATCCTGGCTGGGTTACGTTGTGATTGATTTAAAATGATATGAAAATTTAGAATAAGTTCTGCTATGTGAAATTGAAATTTGCTCTGTGATGCAATAACAGATACTTGATTTATAATAAAAGGACAAATGAATGGTTTCTGCACACTAACATAATTATTGGCAAGGGAATTTAGGATGAGTACAATTGGATATGGAACACCTGTCTACCCATTTCAGGATGTTTTTGGTTTGGTTTATTTTATTATTTGGTTCAGGTACTTCTACATTCCAAGGATTGCTAGGGTTTAAAGTGCTTCCCAAGTGCTGTCTCTCAGGCACCTCTTTGTTTTCAGAACTTTTTTTTTAATGCATTTAGCAATGTTATGTTGCTCTCTTTGCTGTAGCAACAGGTGAATTGTAGGAATGTTTACCTCCAAAATTCCCTGAGAAATAATGTAGGCCTAACAGGACAGTCCTTGCATGCAGAGAACTCCGCTTCAATGGCATTAGATATGGTAGGGACCAATACTTCGCACCTGCTCTTGTGCTGACAGGTTGATGACACCTTGAGTAATAACAAACCTGATAGTAGAATGGTACTGTTGAAAAGCAATACTAGAAATTTAGCACCTAAGTCTGGTAAGCCTTTAAAACCTTAAGCATTACTCCCACCCCGCTGTCTGCCACACAATGGTTTGGATTTCCTTCAGAGGTGATCTGCAAAGCTAAAATGTAATAGAAGTAATGCTTGAAATATGTGTTGAAAGCTCCCACTAGCAAGGCTGAGAGTGGAGAGAGAGAGAGTGAGCAGAAAAAATAAAATTAAACTGAAAGGTCAGAGAATACGGTTGGACTCTTTCTTTCTCCTCTGGGTCCCTTTCACTACTGTTTTCCCTGCTGCCCATACCCTTGTGACCTTCCATTAATTGACAGTTGGTTCCTTCCCTGTTAGATCTCCTTCTCACTTGGTGGCTCGTATTACTGGTGTGAGTTACATACAGTAGGAATTTACACATCATAGCTATATATTTAATTTCATTAGGGGACTTCAAGTGCTAA